CAATTTTTCTTCTCTTCAACTACTAAGACGGGGAGGAACTTCCGTCGACGTAAAGTACGACGTGGGAAAAAAAAAAAAAAAAAAATAAAAGAAAACACGGACCGCTTTATAGATACAGTAAGCGAGATGCATTAAAAAGTTCGTAAATTTCTTATGAATGAATGCATTAGGATGACAAAGCAAGACGTTTCCCCGTTAAGCGCAGACGCCTCTCAGCAAGTATATACCTTCATTTGTGCGTGCTCGTAACTTTTTGAGAAAAGAGAAGAGTACAAACACGTGGACACTCCCTCGCGGACCTCGAAATCTCCGTCGGAGACGTTCGGATTGAGAGGATAGGACTTATTCAACGCGAGCCGAGGATTTCGTAAAACAAGTCCATTAAAATAAATCTATTAGACGGGCTCGCTTGCTTGGGGAGGGGGGGGGCGGGGTTCGTTTTGCTCCCGTCTCTTCGTTGAACATTGAGGTTTCAATCCTCGTGACAAAGGCGGACCTTAGAGCCTTACTGCAGCCGTGACAACGTTAACTCGTTTATTTAATTGTGCGCGCCTTACGCGCAATAAAGTCGCATCGGCTTGCCCACTGTCTCGAAACAAACTTGGCTTTGTTCGTCGACGACGACATTCTTCTTTGTGCGCGACATTTATATGCATGTAGAAACGGAGAAACGAATGTGGAGCCAATGACGGTCGTAGTCGTCGTCGTTGTCGTTGCCAAATCGGAATCGGCGGTGACAGAAAATTGGGAGTAAAGCGATCGGGGAGGGATGGAGGGAGGGAGGGAGGGAGGGATTGATCGCGTCCGGCCGAACGCTATTTCTGCGGGTATAATTGAACGGACGACACAGAGGCAGCAGATTAATCGCGGATCTTAATCGCCCGGAGAATCGCAAGGAGGCGCGCCGTTGTTGCACAATGCTGCTCTCACGTTGATTAAAATACAAAGCTGAGGCAAGCCAGTTTATTTCGAGTTTATTTCGGCCGACGTTTGTTATATAGCGCGTATTTTGCGACTCCCGAACTTCAGAAGTTGACCGTTCGATCGACTATTTTCCTTCGAACGTTTTACCGCTAAAAATATGGCGTTAATACCACGGTATCGCTCGCTCACGTACATGCTCGTAACTACCGTCGTTCCATCTCGCAGCTGAGAAACTCGGAGTATGAAATGAATGCCCGAGCTATCTATTACTCGCTTTGAATGAACTCGCTGGGCTAGAATACATAATATATGATACTTATGTTCTTATTGATATCCGATATTTAACTGATTACCCTTCAGAATTTGATTTATGCCACTTTCACGGCTTAAACGGCTCGACCGAACGGAGCGTACTCGGATCGATACTCGGTGATGCCCACCATCTCGAGCGTGGGCAAAAACGGCGCGGCCGTTTCGCCTTGGCGGAAATGGTAGGTTGCGGTAAGCGCCGCGATATCGCCTCTAGACCTAATGAAACTTTCATCCGCGAGATGCGGATGCAAGTCTGCAAAAGGTTAGAAGTACTGCGATCGACCTGACCTATCTCCGATGCAATTAGTCCGGCAGACTGGGGTCTGTCGACGCGAGGACCCCCCCAGGAGAGGGGGGGGGGGAAGGGATTTCGTAATCGAGTTCCTTCCCATTGATAACAAGACACTCGCTATCGAGGAATTGATACAATCTATCAAGTTCCGGTATTGTTTCATCTAGTCGCGCGGATGGATATATTGGAAATGCATTTGATAGGCTTTTTGTACGTCAACTCACAAGCTAAATTCTAAAGCTTTACTGCGAAACCGATTTGAAACACCGTCGAACGGCGAATAAAGAAGAAAGTTTTTATAACCTTTTTATAAAAGATATTTAGAGAAAATGGAAGTTGGTTAACTTTACAGCATAACGAACTAAGAGAATATATATTCCAGCAAACAGTTTTAGTATTAAACAAAAAACACGTTAAATTGAAAACTTTAGTTTGAATCATTAAGTCGAAAAATCAATATTCATTAAAAAGATATACTCCAATTTATTTATATTTCAATATTATTTAATAACTTTCCTAATGCAGAGTCTTTCGAAGGATAATTCTGAATTCTATATTCGTGATTTACTGCCTATTCAGAATCTAAATAGAAATGACAATGGTATCTGGAAGATTCTTAATCCTATTAAAGAGAACGACCTCGAAGGGGGAGTATGGCCGATGTAATGAGGATACTTGTAGGACCAAGCTCTTAGCAATTTGAATTTCATCATTATGTCCGAAAATAGTACCAATTAGTGCGGAAATCCATCTCTAAGGACTCGGGCTTTCGTGCAGTCGAAAGGGTACGTCGTCGATTGCGCCTGCTGGTGACGGAACGTCAAGCCACGGGGCGTAATTGGGGCGAATTCCTCGAGTGCCCTGCTTGCTTGTCATTTCGACCGAAATCCTGTTTAAGGATTTGTACCTGGCACGCGATATTCCGGCAATTGCTTTTCGCTAATTGCTGCTCGCAGCAATACGGGAGTCTCATGCGCGTTCACGTGTTAACTGTCAAGCTCGTCGCTCACTTTCCTCACGTCTTATGGGGTTGTGTTTTAATCGTGATTAAAACTTCGCGATCCCGACACTAATCCCGAAATGCGCAAGCCGCAGATGTAAGCAAAAATTTTTTGACACAGATCTCCGAAGATGAAAAAGTAATATTAGAGATATTTCTTATTATTTAGCTAAAATAGAAATTACACATATTTAAGTGTGTTAATCGAGTGTGTTTCTCGACTCTAATTTCTTTCATCGTAAAGCCTAACGAACCTTACTTTTGTCCTCTTTAGGTGTTTGTCCGAATACTATCTCACTCGACACGACGGATAATAAGACTTAGATGCGTTTCATGCATTTTTTAAATGCAAAAATTAACATACATTATTACAAAGATGGAAATTAATACAGGGCCGCCCGCTTCTCTGCCGGAGCAATCTTGTTTTCCGCGAGTCAATTTCAGCAGTAGATTTTTCATTTTCTCTCTATTCGCGAAAATAAACTCGCGTTGTTGGATTGTCTTCGCGTAATTGCTATTTGACGCTCCAATTCGCGCGACGAAGTCGCAGCACCCCCGCGGGGGGGGGTGGAGGGCGATTATTCTTGAAAAACGGCGAGCTAATGCTACGAGATGAGCGCTCGGCGCCTCGCACGTGGCGTTGGTAATCTTCATTAGCCACGGTAGAAAGAAACGCGGTAATTAATGTCGCAAGATAACTCGAAATAATTTACGCGTCACGACCAAGCGGCGTTGAGCTGCTAAACGGCCACTCTTTTGCAAACGCGAAGGCCGCGCTCTGCTCTCGCGCATTCGCGCCTTCGGGCGAGCGATTTAATCTCTGGCCAGTGAATCGTGATTCGCACGAATAATTTCGTGGGTTCCCAACTTCATTTCATTCCGCATTCACCTTTTCGCAAGGTCGCTCGTCACACCGGGACGGGGGAAAAGTAGGATTAGTTTTACGGGATAATGTCGCGACAATGAGTCGGCAGATGAGGGGCAACACGAGCTGAAATACCGTGTTACCCGTGAAACGTGAAAGGAGTGCCTGGGTATCGAAGTAAAATATAATTACCTTGCTGCAAATGCATTTTGCATTTCGTTCGAGGGTAATGCAGCCCGTGTGCACGCTCGCAATTCGAGGAATGTGTTGCCAGCGGGTTGGATGTTCGCGGTGGTGCTTCGCCGCGTGAAATTCGTTTAATATCCTTGTAACGCGATATATTTATGTTACGCTCGCGGATAATTCGCCGCTTTTCGGGATATTTATACGTTCCGTCGGGTGGTCCAAATTACGCACTTTTATTATTTCTACGCTCCCTCGTCGTCTCGTATTTCCGGAGTGAATAGATCTCCATTCTCGGATTCTGTGGTATGTGAATGTCCGCGACGAATTCATGCGTATGAACGGTCGAGCGAATTTCAAGCTCGAGGATCGTTCCCCATCGCATTGTTGCGGTTTCGGGATCGGCCTCTCATTTTGAAAACCGTCGGATACCCGATCGTATTTCGGATATGCGTTTTTTTTTCCAGCCTGCTCTCTCGCGCAATGAAAGCTTAATGGGAACGAAAGTTATCTATTACTTTGGATTCGATAAAAAAATAAAAAATTCCAATCTATTAAAGAAAAAAAATCACTATAAGACTTTATACGAATGATGGAAATTATTTCACTGAATATTTTTTTCAAATAAAAAAATAAAGTGCTATTTACGAAGAACGATTTTTTTCGAAGCTTCCGAACAAGGCCGCATGTTGGCGAAGCCTTTTCGCGTCTGGATACCGTTTGATCCAATTAAGCTTTCCCCATCGTGCGTAACGAGGTACAGAAGCGGCACAAATGGAGAACTGAAAAAGGGGAGAAATCACGACGCGTTCGGCATCGGGAACGATCCTCCGTGCGTTTCGCAATGGTACGTGTCGCTAATTGAACTGGATTCTGCAGGAAGAAGTCAGTCGAATGCCGTTGGCCTCTTTCTGTAGAATGCGATTCAACTGACGAGCTAGATACAAGCATCAAACAAGCCCATTTTCTTCGACGAAATTTAACTTTCAATAAATATGCGATTTATCGCTGGCTACGAAAATTTGGCTGGTTTATATAAATTTCATTTTGTATTAATTTTTATCAAAACTCAATCAATCACTAGATACATATTGCGGATACAATGCAAGATTATATTACATCAGAATCGTATTTCAAAAATATATGATCGCAATATATATATATATATAAAATTCCGATCCGAAAGTATTCGATGACTAAGGATTTAGAGAAATGAAATGTGATATTAAAAAAAAAAGTGTCTTATTGAAGTTCGAAAAAGCGGGCTTGTCCGATTTTGCACTTTCATGCTGTTGATTGCTGAAACGCATGTCAAGGGACACGCGAGGGGACTGGTGTATGTTATGAAGTTACACGTACATAACACCGATAGAAGGAAATAAAAAAAGAACTGAGGGAGATGAAAGAGAGAACGAGAGACTCACCCAACGTTGGAGTTGTGTAGTCCCAGCTTTCAGCGTCGTTCTTGTAGACGTTGAGCTTTGTCGGCTGGAAAAGATAACAGACAACGGTATTTAAAATGTGGCTTCAAATATCACAGAAAATCGACGCGTAAATTGTATTTTTTTTCGCACACCAGAAAACAATGTGCCTCAATTGAAAACCTACGAATGTGAAAAAAAGAAAAGAGAGAGAGAGAGAGAGAGAGAGAGAAGAAACAGAAATAAAAATAATTACAAATAGACTGTTAACTAACTACGTATTTGCTAATTGAAGTTGATAT